TGTTCTATTTATCAAGTCTAAGACTTTTTACTTTCTGGTTTATTTATTACTGATTATGTCTTTATTATTTTCTATCACTTTTTCCCCACCCCAAGGGAAGAGAATCTACCACTTTTGTTTTATTGGTTTTGAAAAAATAATATCCTGAGTGTATGCTTAGTTCATTTTTTCAGTGCTTTTTTTGTTATAAAATTTTAATGTAATTTAGCTATAGAAATGTCTTTTCATTTTGTTTTTTTCTCTTCTTTCTAAGCTTAGAAATTCTACCACTTACCCAGGGTTTAATATTTGTTCCAGTGGAATTTCTTTTACACATAAGAACCTTGATTCTAGTTTTAGCAGTATTATAAAGTATATCAATAAGGATTTGTTCAAGAAAACTGAAACCACTCCAAGTATTTTAATCAGAGAAGAAGATCAGAAACAGTTCATATTCACATGGGATGGACAACACTATATACTTAAAGTTTTCTCCAGGCCGTATCTTTCGCCTTCTATCGTAATAGAGTCTGCAGAACTCTGGGTCATCCTGACTTCCTATAAAACATCACATTGTTTTGCATTGATGGCATTACCTTGATCAGAGCAGATAAGCAAAAGGTGGCTGGCATTCTGAATGCTTTGATAAGACATGTGTGCTCCAGTTGGTGGGAAATAAAGCCTCACACATAAGTAAAATTTTTAGGAAACTAGTGCTTAGGAATTTGCCAGAATATCCTTTCTAAATAAAAGACAAATTACTGCATCTTGCACTTCCTTTAACAAAGAAGGAAGCACAGAACCCAGTAGGCTTTTCAGACTCTGAGGCAAATATTCCACACTGAGGAATGTTGCTCCAGCTGCCAAAGCAGAAAAGGCTTCTGTAGTGATCCAGCACACCCTGTGGTGTTGGAAATGTCAGTGATGGGGAAATACGTTGTGTGGTGTTGAGGAAGACCCAGTGGGGGAACCACAGTAAGGGGCCTTGGAGTTCCGGAGCAAGGCCATGCCATCTGCAGCAGAGAATTATACACCTTTTGAGAAAAGTCTTGTGCACTGCTGATTCCTGGTAAGTGTGGATAAGGGAGCATGGGATGCTCCATCACCATGTGGCCAGAACTGCCCATTATGAGCTGGGTCCTAACAGACCCAGGAAACATAAGGTCAAGCAGGCTTAGCAAAAGTGTGAGGTAGAGATATGTTTGGTACATCCAGAACCAAACACAAACAGGGCCAAAGGTCAAAAGCAAGGTAGCCCAGACACCCCCCTCCCTGCCACCATCATCCAAACAGTTGTACCCATGCCCCTCTGTCAGTTCATACCTGTGGCTCAATGTAGAATCTGATATGACCAGCTGAAGGAGGACAGGAAAGTTTGCATTTGATTTACATATGAGCTGGCTTGTTATGTAGGTACATGTTGAAAATAGACAGCAGCTGCATTACAGCCACACTCTGGAGTGGTTCTGAAAGACAGTGATGAGGGAAAGTCCTCCCAGTGGGCAGAGATTCAGGTGGTACACCTTGTCATCCAGTTTGCGTGGAAAGAAGTGGCCCAAGGTTAGACTATCTGTGAAATCACAGGCAATGGTGATTACCTGACCATCTTTTTTCCCTGACATGAAAAATATTTGAAGATCAAGAACAAAGAAGGTCTGAGATAGAAATGTGTATGTACGTGTAGGAGTGGGTATGAAGTATAAAAATCTTTGTATCACATGTTAACACCAGAGAGCATCCATCAGAGAAAAGGCACTAAATAACCAACAAAATGACTCAGCCAGTTTGGCCCAACAAAATGATTCAGCCAAAATGACTGAGTCTCAGTCATCAGCCACCCCAGTGCAGGTGAGATGGGCACCAAAATGAAGTGACCGTGGTGGCAGAGATGGAGGCTACCAGTGAGACAATAGCATGGACACCTGAGGCTTATCTCGCTACTGCCATCAACAAATGCCCATCCTGACAGTAAAGACCAATGCTGTCAATGCTGTGCCCACAAGATGGCATAATTCATGAAGGAGACCAACTAGCCACTTGGTGGCAAATTGACTACCTCTGGTCCCTTCAATCTTTGAAGGGCCAGTGGTACATTCTCTCAGGAATGGACATATAGTCAAGGTATAGGTGTTCCTTTCCTGCCTGCAGGGCCTCAGCACCATGATCCGGATGAAGACGGAGTGCTTGGTCCTCCAGCAAGGTCCCATGTAACATCCTGCCAGCCAAGGCTACTCACTACAGCAAAGGAGAAGTGGGAGCGGGCCTATGACCGTGCAATCCACTAGTCACGTCACCTCCTATACCACTCAGAAGCTGGAGGCCTGCTAGAGCATTGGAACAGGCTGCTAAGTGCAGAGCCGAGGTGCTAGTCAAAGGCAATACTCTGTGAGAATGGGGTGCTGGCCTCCAGGAAACAGTATGTGCATTGAATCAAAGACCTTCATAGAGCATTTTATCCCCAGTTGGAAGAACACATGGGTCTGGGAATCAAGGGATAGAGGCAGGAATGACAACACTTACATCACTTCCATTTACCAACTAAGGGCTTTTTTTTTCTGTCCCCACAACTGTCGACTCTGCAAGGTTAGTGGTTTCGGTCCCTAAAGGACCACACTTTTGCCAGGAGCATAGCAATAATCCCACTGAATTATAAGCTTTAGTCTGCTGCCTGGTGCACATTAGGACCCTGTGTCTAGGGACCAGCAGGAAAGGAGTCACAGTCTTGATGAGGGTAATTGACCCTGATGTCAGAGGAAGTAGTGCTGCTGTTATTAATACAATGCAGGCAGAGAGGAATGTGTGTGGAACCCACACATCCTACTGGGGTGCCTCTTCTAACAGTAAAAGGACAGAGGCAGCAACTTGGCTTGAGAAGCAAATGGTAACCAGGGGCTCAGACCACTCTTGGAAGAGATTGTGGGTCATGCCATCAGGTAAGCCCCTGAGGCCAACAGAGGTGGGAGCTCAGGTGAATGGAATCCAGAATGGATAGAGCGGGGCAGTGGCTGAGTATCAGCTACAACCCCAAGATCAACTGTAAGGGTATGGGCTGCAGTCTTTCCCACTAACGCCCTCTTCTGTTTTCTCTCAAGAAGAGAGGCCCACTGAAATTTTGAAGGAGCCAGTCTTGGAGTATACATGGAAAATAGATCTCAGTGGTGCAAGTAATGAACTCTGAAGGACACAGAAATGAGTTTCCCAGATCCCTCATGAGGAAGGTCTTGCTACTTGGCCAAGAAGAGTTTGGTCAGAGGACACCACCTCCAGATAGCAAATAATTGTTAGATCCCTTAGGGTCTGCCTCAGCTACAGAGAACAGCCTCACCTAAGGGCATGCCCTTCCTGGGCAACCCATATTGGGTGACTGAGCAAGACAGGTTGTGATGGCCCGGCCATTTCTGCTGGGCCAGGAGTGTGACAGGTCACACTCCTTGAGCTGCCCATGGGCAATCCAAGGCTTTGTGGAAGCTGAATCACAGTTTGACTTCTCCCTCTGCTCACCCTCATTTTCCCTGCCTTGCTTTCACCGGTGTTGATCCCTAATAAACACCTTGCCCCGCAAAGTCTGTCTCAAGTCTGCTTCTGGAGAATCCAAACTGTGTCAGCATTTCTGCTCTCACAAACTTATTTCATAAATACAAATGAATCTGCAAGTACCTACTTGGTACTAGAACAAGAATACTTGCTTTGCAAAGTTTTCTGTGCTCAGAAAATACAACTTGATCACTGTACAACCAATGCATGGTAAAGGAGCTATTTTTTTGAGAGTTTTTAATGTATTTAGCATAGCCTTCACTATGATATACTTTTATTCTTACTGTCTCGTAGTCTTCAACTTTAAGGGAAAAAAGATATTTTACAAAAAAAAAAACAAGAAATTTGCTTCCAGTGTAATTTCTGTCTTCCCTGAAAAACAGAGTTGAGGCATTGTTCCTCAGAAAGTTGGGGAAATCAGTCTCTTCTGGAGGAAACACAGTTCCTATTGGTTACCGCCCTCAGCTATTTACTGGGAAGGCCATTTTTTGGTTTCAGTTACGGTAAAACTCTTTGGATTTTAGCCAGATTCTTTAAGAGTTCAAAAGTACAAAGCTCTTTAGGAGGCTTGCTCTTTTGAAATATTTTTTCAGAGGTTAAAAATTAAATTTCAAAAGAGCATCTGGAGCGGAAGAAGGTTCTCAGCAGAGACACAGACCCTGAACACCTCCAACATGAAGCTTGTTCGTGTTTTTCTGTTACTTTTGTGCTTCTACTTAAGTTTTTGCAAGGTAAGTAATTCAATCTTTATGCAGATTATTTTAGGTAGATATTTTAAAGATTATAAAAATCTTATAATGTTGACTTAAACATTACACAGGTCAGTTACCAACAATGCCACTATATAGTCAGTAACAAGTATGTTAATATCTTGATAAAAGAGTTTTAAGAATATAATTTTTTATGTGTTTATATGTGCATAGACATCGAACTAGGCATAAACATGGAACAAGAATTTTACTAATACAAGGCTATGATTTACTGTAATTACAATAAATCAATAAACATTTCCCAAGCGTTTTCTGTGTCTAAGGTACAGTGTTAGGAAAGTAGTAAGACTGATCTCTTCCTTCAGTAGCCTTTTAGTGCACTGTATAGTTGTAGAAAGGAGACGTAAATATGCCAATGTGGAAATAATATGCAAGATTTAAAATAACACTTGAAAACACAAAGGAAGGGAATGTTACAAGACAGTATACATTGAATTGCCAAAAATGATACAAATTTCTTGTGGCAAAGGACTTTAAAATGAGAGTACAAATCACTTCATGCAGAAAGGTCAGGAAGAGATGATGCACCAAGTAGGAGCTGGACCTATAATTCTGGATTGCAGGCCTGGTGCCAGGGTCCAGGGCCAGGCTTGCCCTCTTTCCTCCAGGAGAATTCATGAGCCAAAGGGATCTCTCTCAACATCGTGCCATGCTCTGTTGGGGAAAGAGTGACACAAAGTGAAACTTTTTTCTTACCCTTTTCAATGTGTCTTTTCTCCTATCTTTGTTCCCCTGGGGTGCCATAAGCTCTCACCTGGATCCTGGAACTCTCATCAGGTATTTTTATACACAATTGTTTTTATACATGATTGTTAAATTGATGTTTTTGTTGGGGAGACAAGGGCTGGGAGACCCTGTTCTGCCATACCGCAGTTGTCACTCTCTCCAACTGTCTTAAATATGCTCAGAACTAAAGAAAATTGAAAGAATGATGTATCAACAAATATAGAATACCAGTAAAGAAATAGAAATTATAAAAAGTAACCAGAAAAAAATTCTGGAGTTGAAAGTGTAATGCAATAACTAAAATGAAAAATTCATTGAGGGATTTCAATAGAAGATTTAAATAGGCAGAAAAGTCAACAAGCAAGATCAGTCAATTAAGTTATCTAGTCTGAGGAGCAGAAGGAAAGAATGACAAAAAAAATGAATAAAGCCTATGGGACACTGTCTAGCATACTAACGTATGCATAATGGGCATCCCAGAAAGAGGAGTGAGAGAAAAGCACAGACAATATTTGAAGAAATAATGTCCGAAAACTTCCCAAATTTGGTAAAATACATGACTCTACACATTCAAGGGCTCAATGAATCCTAAGAAAGATAAACACAAAAAGGTCTACACAAGACACATTATAATCAAATTCTTAAAACCAAGAACAAAAAGAGAATCTTAAAAACAGCAAGATAAGGCTGGGCATAGTGGCTCATGCCTGTAACCCTGGCACTCTGGGAGGCCAAGGCAAGAGGATCGCTCAAGATCAGGAGTTCGAGACCAGCCTGAGCAAGAGCAAGACCCCATCTCTACTAAAAATGGAAAAAATTATCCAGGTATGGTGGTGCATGCCTGTAGTCCCAGCTCCTTGGGAGGCTGAGGCAGGAGGATCGCTTGAGCCCAGGAGTTTGAGATTGCTATCAGCTAGGCTGATACCACAGTACTCTAGCTCGGGCGACAGAGGGAAACTGTGTCTCAAAAAAAGAAAAAAAAAACAGCGGGAGAAAAGTAACTAATCATGGTCATGGGATCCTTAATAAGATTAGCAGCAATTTTTTTGCATCAGAAACCATGGAGACCAGAAGAAAGTGGAATGATATTTTTTAATTACTGAAAATAAAATAACTATCAGCCAAGAATTGTTTATCTAGAAAAACTATCCTTCAAAAATGAAGGAAAGATGAAGAAAATCGCAGATAAATGAAAGCTGAGGGAATTAGATGCTAGTAGACCTGACCTACAGGAAATGCACGACAAGCCAGAGAACCCTTTATGCTGAGATGAAAGGAGGCTAGACGGTAACTCAAGACCATATAAAGAAACAATGAACTCCATAGGTAAATATAAAAGCCAATATAATTTTTGTTTGTAACTCTTTACTACATGATTTAAAAGACAACTGTATAAAAATTATTTTAAATCTATGTCAATGCTCACATAATGTGTAAAGATGTAATGTGTGGCAACAATAACATACGGGAGGAGACGGCACTGTATAGGAGCAGAGTTTTGTATGCTCTTGAAGCCAAGTTGTTATCAATTCAGTCTAGATCGCCATAAATTTAAGATAGTAATTGTAATCTCCGTGGTACCCACAAAGAAAATATCTGAAATATATACACAAAAGGAAATGAGAAGGGAATCAAAATGGTTCACTATGAAAAAATCAGCTACACAAAAGAAGGCAGTAATAGAGAAAATGAGGAACAAAAAAGGCACGAGAGATACAGTAAACAAATAGCAAAATGGCAGAGGTAAATCCTTATCAGCAATTACTTTAAATGGAAGTAGATTAAGATCAAAAGGCAGAGATTGGCAGAATCAGTTTTTAAAGAACATGACCCAACATGATCCAAGAGACTCCCTTTAGATACAAAGAAACAAAGGCTGGAAAAGATACGTGCAAATAGTAACCAAAAGAGAGCTGGGATGGGCTATACTAATACCAGAAAAAATAGACCTTAAGTCAAAAAGTGTTTGACTTAAGACAGGGATCCCCAACCTATGGTGAGTTGTATAATTATTTCATTTTATATTACCGTGTAATAATAATAGAAATAAAGTGCACAATAAATGTAATGCCCTCGAGTTATCCTGCAACCATCCTCTCACCACACACCCTCCCCCAATCCATGGAAAAATTATCTTCCATGAAAACGGTCCCTGGGGCCAGTTTCAATTGATTGATATTTCTCCTCATTATGAGTCATATTTTCTGGCTTCTTTGCGTCCCTATTATTTTTATTAAATGCCAAATGTTATGAATTTTATCTTGTTGGATGATGGATCTTTTTTTTATTCCTGCAAATATTGAGCTTCGTTCTGGGATGCAGTTTAGTCACTTAAAAACCGATTTCAGGTCTTGCTCTTAAGCTTTGCTAGGTAGGATCAGAACAGTACTCAATCTAGGACTAATTATTCCACACTATTAGGGCAAGATCCTTCTGTACACTCCACCCAATGTCTCAAGAATGGTAAGTTTCCTAGTTTGAGTAGTGAGAACAAGCTGTTTGAGCATGGCCATTGCTACCTCAAATTCTTTTCAGTGGTTCTTTCCCTAGCCTCTCCCAGTTTTTTCACTCGTAGGTGCTGATGAATACTCAGCTAAATACTCAAAGGGGACCTTCTATAGAGCTCCAGAGTTCTCTGAGAACTCTCTTCTTTCCAGTTCTTTATCAGCAAAGTACAGCTGCTTTCATCTCCATAGACTCTCAGCTCTTTCTCCTAAACTCAAGGAGTCTCTTGGGCTCAGCCCAAGTTTCCCCTCTCTATACTCCGGCCTGAAAACTCTCTCAAGGCAATAAAATAGAACAAATGCAGGGCTCACCTCATTTCTTTCTCAACTCTCAGGGATTACTACCCTTCCTTGCCTGGTGTCCAGTGTCTTAAAAACCATTGTTTTCTGTTATTTAGTCCATTTCTTGGTTGTTTTAGGCTGGAGGGTAAATTTGGTCCCTATTACTCTATCTTGGCTGGAAACAATTCCCATTTAATTTTAATTAATTTTGATTTTAATAGTCACATTTTGTTAATGGCTATTGTATTGAATAGCACAATTAACAGTTGCTGGGTCTGCTGTTGATTTTTTAAAATACAAATGTAAACTTCACATGAGCACTTTTTTTTTTTTTACTTATCCTTTAATAGACATTGTATTATAATTGGAAGTGAATTTGGTCAACTGTCAGATTAGACTTAACATAGGTGGACTCACATATGTTATGCATTGGAATTGTTCAAGTTCACTTTAGGTGGTACAGTTCCTTTCTTCACCCCTGTGGTATTACATTTTCCTGAATTTTCCACTTCCAAAATTTAAAATGTTGTCACAATGATTGTGAGGATGAAGGAACAAAATTGAGTTATTCAATTTTGTCATTCTAATGGCTATTTG